TATAAATGATTGTTTGTTGCTTAACCTGAATACGATAGAGATTTTAAACAGTCTTCAAATTAGTCACTAGACTGAAATTATCAGTTGCCTTCAATGACGATTTTTACCCATTTCTTTTGTTTTCGGTTGAGACAATTGAAGATAGAAAGAAAATTGAAACAGAAAAACAGTCAGCAAGACAAGATTTACAAAAAAGAAAAACGGACAAAATCGTCAGTTGATTTATTTATATAAATTATTGTCCTTAAAAGATTTTTTTTATCAGTATTTGCCTTTTCAAAAACGGTAATAGATAAAGATAATCTGGAACAAGATCTGCAAATGAGTCAACATGCCAGACTGTGATCGCAATTCGGTTTAATATAAAGTCAATGCCCTTCATTTCCCCCTGTTTTACACCCTTCCTTTAGCTTCGCTTGATAGGATACAATGTATTCGCATTATTTTCTAAATGGATGTAAAGTAAACGTCATAGTTAGTACTGCAATAGTCAGTCAACACTGTTAACTGATACTGAGGTAAATAAACGGGCTTCGTTGATAGTCACGTCTGTCATTCGGTATATCGAGAAAAATGATCGTGAAAGAATAAGGTCAAGTGTTGCGATTGGATCGTGAACGATCTGGTATAGGATCGTGATTGAAATCTTATCAAGAAGACACAACAACGTCAGTAAATAATCTAATTTAATCAATTATAATGACAAATATTGGAAAAATAAAACTGTCTGTCAAAATGGTTCAACATTATGATTAGTATCCGAGAAATATCGAGGCTTAAAAGTACACCGTTTTTACAAAACTACAAAAGGCAGATTGCTCTTCGAAATTTCAGAGAAATAAAAATGTAAACAAACATGATATTTTTTCAAATTTTAAATGCATAAACTACTTTTCTCCTAAAGATATCGTTCAATATTACTGTTTAAAATAGTTCTTAAAGTTATTTTGGTTTCTTTTAATCAGAAACTTTGCAAAAACGATAATATTTGTAAAAACTTGATATTTCGGATCGTAAAAGATCGGGTACCGCATTTTGATGATCGTGAAAAGGATCGTGAAAGATCTTTTGCCGGTTATTCGTATTGCAAAAAAAACCACGAAAACGAAATCTCTCTTTAAACAAATGATAATAAAATGCGTAATTGATATATCAAAAGATTGGATTTGCATGACTTATTCCGCTTCACTTTTGTTTGTGAATACGGCTATGATGGTTCAATGCCATTGGGTCTGATTATTTAATAATACCACACCGGCTAGTTTTCTTGTACATGTAACAATATAAGTCCGTCTGTCCGTCCTGCATACGTTTTATTATCGTTTGTCTCCTCTGATTTCCATTATTTTTTTATGCACAGCCATATCTATAAAACGGATCTCATTGTTGATTTTTGTAAAAATTGAAAACAGCAGTGTTAAAAAAAAACAGCAGGAAAACAAGTTTCATATTCCTGACTTGACACAGGCATTTTCCTAAGAAAATGGAGGGTTAAATCTGGTTTTCTAGCTATCTAATACGCCCACTTGTATGACAATTGTTTAATGTTCCGTAATATTTTCAAATTGGGTGAGCAACCCATACAGACATAATTGGTTAAAATGGCTATACATTTGTATCTGGGCATCTGGGCAGCCAAAACTGTGTAAACATTCATCACAGACATGCACCACAACTTAATTTAATTTAACGTTCAAACACACTTACAATTAAAACAAACAAAGACGCCAACAAAAAAGTTTCTGTAGTTGATAATACAGTCGATATAGTAAAGCATAGTTACGGACCCCCTTAGGTGTCATGTAGATATAAATGTTTTCGTTTGTCGGAGATTTAATCTTGTGCGCAACAGTTTGAAAAATCGTGCTTTGATTAAGGAAAAGCCGAACTTTACGTTTAACTAGCAAAATGAAATGCAACGTCTGGTATATCTTCTTAATTAGCGATTTGTTAAGTATGACCCTATTACTGGGCTTCAAACACTAGATATGATAAATCGGTCACATTTTGGTCATTGAGAGCTACTTAACCCTTCCACATTTGTCAGCCCATGACTTCTCTCGATCAACAGTAAACCCTTGCTAAAGAGGGGCATCCGTCTGTCTGTGCGAAATGTATTAATACTCAGCCATATTTAAAATGAAGATGATAAATCCGATGCCTCTGAATGATTGATTTCTCCCTAAATGCAATATGGGTCGACTGAGAACAAACGTTTAAAACCTTTTATATAGACACTAGTCACTTGAATCACATAATCGTACGTTGGAAAGAGTAAAACTATGCCTGACAAGCATCAGGGCAAGCCTTGACCTATGTCGTAAGGTAAACTATTTACCCCCCCCCCCCCCCCCCCCCTTTTCATTTTTTTTACTCCACGATAGACGGATGCAAAAAATAAACATAAACAGTAAACGAATTTAAAGGCAATGACGGCCACCTAAAGATGTAAGTAAATAAGATTTGTACTTATTGTGTATATCAATTCCCATTGCAGGCATTTTTTTTTATAGGTTTCGGACAGTTTTGAACTTTAATACAGTCTAATATTTAACTGGAGATAATCAAATGCACTTTTATTCTTTGAAATTGTCAATGATGGTATTTCTCTTGACTGCTTTATTTACAATCCTATTTTGGACCCCCTGATTCCAAGGGGGCGTGTCTTATTAGTCACATCCGATTAACCTTTAGTAAATAAAACCTCAAATTAAAGACCTACAAAACAAAAGAGATCCTTTGTGAAATGAGATCGTCCCAGGTATCTTAGAGAATTATTTAGCGTTGATTAACAATGAAAACTTCACGGAAAGGTTTGTAATCTTCTTTATTGACTTTTTAGCTCACCTGGCCGAAAGGGCCAATTGAGCTTTTCTCATATCTTGGCGTCCGTCGTCGTCCGTCATCGTCGTCGTCGTTAACTTTTTACATTTTGAACTTCTTCTAGAGAACCACTAAATGGAATAAAACCAAACATGGCTTGTAAGTTCCTTATGAGGTGCTGACCAAGTGTTGTTATTTTGTAGCTGATCCATCATCCAAGATGGCCGCCAGCGGGGGACTTCGCTTAACATAGGATCCCTATGGACAATACATACAAATGTCTTCTTTTAGAGAACCACTGAATGGAATGAAACCAAACATGGCAAGAATGTTCCTTATGACCAAGTGTTGTTACTTTGAAGCCGATCCATTATCCAAGACGGCCGCCAGAGAGGGACTTCGTTTAACATAGGACCCTTTATGAAATACATACAAAAGTCTTCTTTTGAAGAACCACTGAATGGAATGAAACCAAAATTGCATGAATGTTCCGTATGAGGTGCTGACCAAGTGCTGTTACTTTGTTACATAGGATCCTATGGACAATACATACAAATGTTTTCTTTTAGAGAACCACTGAATTGAATGAAACCTAACATGGCATGAATGTTCCTTATGAGGTGCTGACCAAGTGTTGTTACTTTGAAGCCGATCCATTATTCAAGATGGCTGCCAGCGGGGGACTTCGTTTAACATAGGACCCTATGGACAATACATACAAATGCCTTCTTTAAGAGAACCACTAATGAGGTGCTGGCCAAATGTTGCTACTTTGTAGCCGATCCATCATAAAAGATGGCCGCCAGAAAGGGACTTAGTTTAACATAGGACCCTATGTGAAATACATACAAATGTCTTCTTTTAGAGAACCACTATATGGAATGAAATAAAACATGGCATGAATGTTCCTTATGAGGTGTTGACCAAGTGTTGTAACTTTGTAGGCGATCCATCATCCAAGATGGCCGCCAGCGGGGGACTTCGTTAACATAGAACCCTATGGACAATACATACACATGTTTTCTTTTAGAGAACCACTGAATGGAATGAAACCAAACATGGCATGAATGTTCCACATGAAATGCTTACCAAGTGTTGTTACTTTGAAGCCGATCCATTATCAAAGATGGCCGCCAGAGAGGGACTTAGTTTAACATAGGACCTATGAGAAATACATAAAAATGTCTTCTTTTAGAGAACCACTAAATGGAATGAAATAAAACATGGCATGAATGTTCCTTATGAGGTGCTGACCAAGTGTTGTAACTTTGTAGGCGATCCATCATTCAAGATGGTCGCCAGCGGGGGACTTAGTTTAACAAAGGACCCTATGGGAAATATATACAAATGTCTTCTTCAAGAAAACCGCTTAATTGATTGAAACCAAACATGGTATGAATGTTTCTTTTGAGGTGCTGACCAAGTGTTGTTACTTTGTAGCTAATTTGTCATTGTCCTTATAAAGTCATGTTCTACAATTTCAATGAATTTATAAGTAATTTCTGTAAACTTTACAAATGTCTTCTGCTTTTGATTAAATTACGGGGCCAATATTAAACTAAATTTGGCCTCAATCATTATTAGGATATTTGTTATGATTTTAATCTATTTTTACATGATTTCCAAAACCAAAGTAGAATCATGTGAGCGACACAGGCTCTTGGGAGCCTCTAGTTTTTTATTCAGCCGAATTATTGAAGGAAAATTTAATGACACTTCAATCAAAATATATATTCATTTGGGTTCAATTAGTTTTAGTTGAAAACCACAACATTGTGTAATAGTGTTGAACAAGGTAAATGCGGTAAATTACTTGTAGTAAAAATTGCATCCTTATTCGTACATTTTAACAGTACAGAAAAACTCATCGGCGACATAATGATATATAGTTTATACTTAAGATGTGTATTAAAATAGAATTTATACGTAAGTGAATGGAAATTTTCAATCTTCATACAGAAAATTGAGAAATACTGTCTTGAATCAAGACTTTTAAATTGTTTTATATTTATATAGAATACTTGTACTATAACCGACGTGAGACATCAAGATCTCCATACTAAATACATGTAGAACAACAAAACATTCAATATGGCGTGCATTGATAGTTGGAAGTCACTGAATGTTCTCAACAAATATCTTTTATCATCAACTACAGTGGCAATTTGTTCGCTTATCATGGGAATTTCTACTCCATTTTGGATAACAGTTCATATACCTGAAAATTCATTGTCCTTTACAGAGAATTTTCAAGCTGATTTTTACGTTCCCTCGAAAAATTTTAAAGCATTTTTAATCAAAATGATTGAAAATGATCAGTACTTTGGACTTTGGCAGTGGTGTATCGGAGGGAACGGTTGTATTGATTTAGGTTGGATATCCATGTTTATATCCAACACGGATTGGCATGCATGGCCAGATGAACTTAATACACTCATAGGTAAGATTACTTTATTGTATTTTCAAAATCAAACTTTAAGATAAAAACAAAATGGATCATTGAAAAGTCGAGTCAAACGAAACTATACGCTACTATTTCATTGACGTACATGTATACCTCACATCTCCTTTTTATTCTTATTTATACTAAGTTCATGCATAATAGAAAAAAAGGATATTTGGTATCCATCCATGACACAAAGTCAGTACATGTACAGAAAAAACCACAAAAAAGCAAAGGAACAGCGCTTTTATTGCTGTTCTTCATCTCAAAGTCACAGTGAGGCCTTCAACACAGAGCAAAACATTTTTCACCTCACTGCAAGTTTAAGACGGCCCCTAGTACCGCTTTGAGCATAGGTAACGAGGTTAGAATTGCTTTTTAACGAGAACTACTATAGGGCCTGTAATTTCGTCAGAAAAAAACCTTTTATAAGGTCAAAGTAGGCAAAGTTGACTTTCCACATTTTTTTTACCGGCGTACACCAAGATTTAATCCAAATCATCACATCCTTTCACAAAGTAAACAAACAAAGTAAATAAATTCGTTTGAGAGTTTTTTCCCCTGGAAATTATAAACATAACTTGTTTTTCTTTACATCATTTTTAGATTTCTGGATAGCAACACGAGTTTTTGCAACGCTTGGATTTATAACTGCTGTCATTGTAACTGCAGTATTTCTATGGTTTCTTTGCAGACGAACAGGCACTGGATGTTGCTATCACGGTTTTATCGTGATTGGATGTTTCGTTACAGGTTATTTGATATTACTTTTTATAAGGGAACATGATGGTATTTTGTTCATAAGAAAATGAGAATTGTTTTCCATTATTTCCACAAAAGCGAAACATGATAAAAGTATGCTTCTAAAATGAAAGTTATCATACTTTCGTATTGGATCTTTTTAAAAAAGTGAATGAATTGATGTTTCGGATTTACAAAACTGAAATATTTGAAATCAATTTTCAAAATAGAATTCCCAATCAACTATTGCTTCTTTTTAAACAGTGCATTTCCAATAATATGATTTAACGAATTTGAAATATGACTTAAAAAAGACATTGGCCAAAAAACTGAATCAGATGACGTGACAACGTTACTTTTCGTGATATCATTATTATCAGCGATGTCTCAAGAGCAAAATAGAAACTACCCCTCCTGACAATAAAGCATAAAAAATATCAAATGGATACAACTAAATATACATGACTAGATATATTACAACAAACATGTTATTATATCGGGTATTTTTGGAATAGATTTCATCAACATATCCCAATGTTCGCTGCGTTCACGCATCAAAAAGGTTCAACTTTTGACTCGCGTCTATATTTTACGATACATGTATCAGTGTATAAAAACCAATAACATCCTCCGGATGATTTCGTAAAATTTGCCTGTCAGACAGTTTTTGATTTAGTCCTTATATATTTTCTTTCAGGATCGCGCTTTTGGTATTTGATGCAACACTGCAAATTTATTAGTCTCATTTCGCGATCTTGTCATTAATGTGTAGATATGAGCCACAGGCTTATCCAAAAAAGAATCAGCTTTTATTTTCAGGGGGCTTACTAGCCGTTTCTGTGGCAGTTTTCCTTACAGCAGTCAATAATCTAGCCAGTAATCAAAACATCAATATAAGTTTTTCTTTCGGGATGACCTGCATTGCGGCCATTTTATATAGTTTCAATGGATTTACAATCGTAGTTGCTTTATGTACTGGGACTGGCACCATCGGAAGAAAAAATACCAAATAGCTTAAAGAAGAGGAGTGTGTTAACTACTGAGTTTACAATTGTGAAGTGATGCTTCTTGCTTATACAATTATATTGTGACTTTTTCCAAGAATATGTATGTTCCTTCAAAATTAAATACGTGTAACATCTAGTTTTATAATATGTATGTGTATTCGTATTCAAAAGTTAGATATATTTCAGAGATAAATCTAAGCTTGTTTTATGCTGCCCTTGGAAGGTGTTTCGACATTTTAAGAAACATATTGTGTTTTTTTCTGGTAACAAAAGCGACTTTTATCGAGTTCTAATGAAAATGTTAAAATAGTAATGTGCTAATTTATCTACAATTGGCAATAACCAACCTTACATCTGCAAAAGTGCACATTTGCCTCATAGATTCATTATGTCAAAGCTTGCATAAAAGTTCATTTTAGCACCTGGCTAAACCCAGAACATTGACGTAAAAATGTAAATAGGTAGATGTAAGAGAGAACACAAACAAACCCGACTTATTACAGCCAGAAGATACATTTATGTTCGTATTCCATTTTGCTCAACTCAGTCCGTCCCTCTAATTTTTTTTATGAAAAATTGTGACAGATAACATTAACGGTACCAATTTTATCTGCACCAGATGCGTAATTCGAGTTTCGACAATAAGTGTTTCTTCAGTGATGATCGAGGCCAAAATATTTGAAAATCCAAAACATAGTAAAAAAAGAAGTGCTTTTAAATCAAAAAAGTATAGCCAAAGCGGGGCAAGTAATCAGAGCTTTGCATGAGGGAGATAAATTCCTTCATTTTAGACAATTTATAAAATTTTGTAACAGCAAAGTTTAATAACACTATACGTATTGTCATGCCAAAAATACTGGGCGCGAGTGAGGATTTTTTAAAAGAGTTTAGCACCTGAACATGAAAATAATATGGGCAATTGTGGTATATCGGCGGGTAGCTTTGTAGTAATAATTTATCAAACAATTCTATTGTTATGCATGCATGTTATACTATTAAAATTAGAAAAAAAAGAATCATTTGATATTTTGCTTATACACAAATAAATCCCCATGTACCAGCCTCGCGTTATTTTTTTCTACTATCTATACTATCGCAGGAAAATTACAATTCTCTGTATATGTTTGCAACTAGACCAAAGATGTTCAGGAGAAAAACAAATTGGCTTAACGGGTGCCACATGTGGAGCAGGATCTGCTTACCCTTCATGAGCACCTGAGATCACCCCCAGTTTTTGGTGGGGTTCGTGTTGCTCAGTCTTTAGTTTTCTATGTTGTGTTTTGTGTACTATTGTTTGTGAGTTGGTCTTTTTCCTTTTTAGCTATGGCGTTGTCAGTTTATTTTCGACTTATGAGTTTGAATGTCCCTCTGGTATCTTTCGCCTCTCTTTTAAATTAAGAAGTCACCCGTTAAAATTAACAGATTTATTCCGATATTATCATTTTATACCAACTACAATATAGTTATATAAGAATATCGAGACTACCTATATTGTATTCTTATTTTCTATTGTTGAAAAAGTAAGATTTGTTAACGATTTATCAACTTTGTAAACAAAATATCTTACTTCTATTTTTAACATGAAAAGACATAACTTTAAAATCGTTATATTTACTCAAAGAAAATATGTTTATACTGAAATTTCCTGTAAAAATGCGCAAACCGCCGTGCTCAATTTAGTTTTGCTCATTATTGCTTAGTAAATACCACTGACTTTACGAAGAAATAGAAGAAGCACAAGTACGAGTTTAAAAAGGCTACTTTTTTTCTCGTTCATTATTTTGTACATAAATTAGGCCGTTTGAATTGTTTTACATTTGTCATTTCTGAGCCGTTTATAGCTGATTATGTTATATGGGCTTTGCTCATTGTTGAAGGCCGTACGATAACCTATAGTTGTTAATTTCTGTGTCATTTGGTCTCTTGTGGAGATTTGTCTCATTGGCGACCATACCACATCTTCTTATTTTTATATTTTATATTCAAAGCTGTTTTAAATTGTCAGGTAACACGAGAGGACATTTGCGCTCCAAACTTTATGGACATTTGCGATTTAAACTTGGATACAAACCGGACATTTGCACTTTTTACCTGTGAAAGTTTACCGGTAATCCAAACAGAATTTACTAAAGTCAAGGAAAGATGTTCACACATTCTTTAAAAGTTCTCTCGTACAAACCACACAATCAGTACATGATAGAGACAAGATTTGTTTATGGATGGAACCTTCAAATGTTGCCTTAAATTCTTCAAACAGTTTTGTAGAATTCGTGAAATTTAAGATATGGAAACTACATTCGTCTTGTGTCCATTCTATTTCATGGTACGTCCGAGGACTGTACCATCATAGTTTATCTAAGCTTGTTTCAATTTATGAAGACCGAAGTTTTATTTTTGAGCCATCTGCTTTTCCTGATGACTCCGAAAAAAGAGTAATGGTTGTCATAAGGCATTTACTATCATCCGTCCCCTTAAAGAAACAAATTCTCACTTCCTGTTATCTTGTCCCATATACACCGATTTAAGACACGAACTATTAGCTTCTGTTTCAGTTTTTCCTGTGCAAGTTGACACAAAAATTTTGCTAACGGTACTCTCAGATGAGCAAAATAGTCATTTATTTAGTTTGGTGCAGAAATACATTATCAAAAGCAAACGTTATAACCCTTGATGTTACTGCTTCATCTTTCAATAGAACCCAAGCATTTCACACTGTATACATTACAAAAATTCATGTTTATTTTTTTTTCTTTATTGTATTTTTCACCTTTTCATATCTGTATATTTATTACAGAGTATGCCAGTATTTATAGTTATATATTGTTCAATAAGGGTAGTAATTGTGTAATAGGAGACAGATTTGTAAAAGCAAATTTGCTTGTTTTTGAATCCTAAATATTTATAATTTTATTATATCGTTATGTGATGATTTATCTGAGTAAAATATTGTTTAAACTAAGTGCTGTCGTATATATACATCTGACACAAGCATGATGGCGACATATTTAAAGATTAATACATGAAAGTGTTGTGTTCTTGATATCAAATGGTTTTTAAACTTTTAGCCAAGATAACTCAAATGTAATAAAGAAAAGGCGCGAATATCCTAAACATTAAAGCGCAAATGTCATTTTAAAAACGCTCAAATGTCCTAACAAAAAGCGCAAACGTCCTGCGCCGTTACAGAACTCTGCAATGTTTGTCACGTTATCCACAAGGACAACTTTGGTTATAAATTTACTCCAAAAAAGCACCCCAATGAGTGTTTATAAATTGTAAAAAGAATACAATTTCCGAAATCTCTTTTAATTGTTACTTTGTTCTCGTCATGCACATAGATGCAAAATTTACCACTGGACGTTAAACACGCAACAATCAACCAATCAATCTTTTTATTCACCAATACAAGTAAAAAAGATAGTAGTATCTTTTGAACATGAAAAGTACAAGAGAACGGCAAGTTATGTTAGCAATTTGTAAAATTAGTTTATAAGGATGCATTCCGAACAAAGTCCTAGCAATGATTTTTTTTTAAATTTTGAGGACGAGTTCATGGATGTTCTCTGCTAAAACTCGGTATTCAAAGATTTTGGTTTTTTTTCCAACAAAATATGATTTACTATTTGATTTCATCAAACTTAGAGGAAATTTCGATCGATTGGATGAGTGTTGCTTGTATCACAGCCAAAGACAAATATGTCAAGCATGTTCAGGACGATAACAAAATTGATTAAGCAGATTTTGCAAAGTTGGTCAGCCGGGATAATTTGCGTGTTATTGAGACTGACACTGGAAAACATATATCTAGTATAGGTAAAAATGGAAACTAGGTCTTTTTGCATGCTTATTTTTGTGATGTAATCGTTTGGTACAACTTAAAGAGAACAGGTTATTTTCTACTGAGTTTATTTAATATGAAGGTCATTTTAAAAAGGTCTTCCAATCTTTACTTAAACAATATCACAGCTGCATATAAATTAACTTTGTTGTTGTAACAACACATTGACATAATTCTGAAAATATTACCTTTGAAATACCTAATTTTGAATGAATTTGGCATTATCGTATTTATCTAAAAATTAATTCTTTAAAGCATACGATACAATACAATACCATGCAGAGTTTTTGCCAACCACGAAGCCAAACAACGAGGTTTACAATCAGGTTGTAGTACATACAGTTTATTACGTTTTTGACTACAATGATTGGTTTGACAATTAAAAAACTATAAGATCTAAAAACACATATGTTCTTTAAAAGAGAGACCAAAGGTTCATTCAAACTCATAAGTCGAAAATTAACTGACAACGCCATGGCAAAACACAAAAAAAAAATAAAAAATGAAAAGACACACAACACTTTACAAAACACAACATATAAAACTGAAGACTGAGCAACACGAACTCCTAGAAAAACCGGGGGTGATCTCATGTGCTCCAGAAGGGAGCAAAAGAAGAAATAAAACACAAAAGAGATCTGAACTGACGTGACTGCGCAATTATACATTCCGCTCAGCAAACTTATTCCACAACCAATGCATGGTTTTTACTGTCGAATGGGACAATTCCTGGTGATCATGATTTGTTATGTCTGTATGCCAATTGCAAAAGAGTATTTGAAGTAAACGCCAATAAGAAAGCAATCAAACGACTCATAACACTACGGATATCATCTTGAGGTAAACAAGCGTCGTTCTTACAACAGTTAAAAGTGAAATGACCTCTTAACATCGAACGACAAAGTTTCGACAACAACTGTTTTAACTACAAACATTGGCAATTTCCAATCTTGCATTTAGTTTTGTTGAATTTGCATTGAATGATATCGTTAACATAAATAAAATCTTTCTTATATGAAAGACGATACACAGTTTTACCGCCGATTGGAGTTTGCTTAAGGTAAGGAATATTCTTAGTTAGACAAAAAAATAATTTTGCCATAGTCTACCAAAATTGCAGTTGTGATCTATCTTTAGACATTTATGATTTGGTCACCGTTTAGAAATACGCCATACTGTTGTTTAAGGTATAGAACCACTATTTCGGGCCTGGATAGAAAGAACATACCATAAAGTAGTACATATTTTAAACAATATACTTTCTATCGGCTATACCTTTGTCAATTAGTGAAATATTTGGATAATTT